TCGATGGAGTTATCTTTAAATGAAATCAAAACTGCAGGGCCAAAAGACGAAAACAAGAAACTTGAGTGTAATAAATGGAAAATAGTCAGGATACTATTATAGAGAGTTCTAGAAGAAGTCGAACGCATCATAAAATTTTGGCCAAAAACCGAAACAGACAAAACACAAAAGTTAGGGTTCTTCATCTGTTGATCAACGAAAGGGCGAATTTTTAATTCCTGACGAGCGATGGATGAATTTGAAGGTACGAATCGAAATTTGAGTGTTTTTAATTAATGATTTTGGGTTCTGATTACATGTTTCTCAGGGTGGACTTCGTGGCTCGAACCTGCGTTTTTGCTGTGGGAACCTAATGACGATGATTACGAGAGACCTCCATACATGACTCGAGCCGAGGGTGATAATACGTACACACCAGATGAAGAGTTTGCCAACATGGCCCAACAAGTCAATAAGAGCGATGTATGTATTTCACAACTCTTCTTCTCTTTTATCATATGGTTTTGTTTGATATATTGTGTATGTGCATAAAACAGGGGTTTGATATCGATTTCTCCAACTTCCTCTGTGTTTTCAACTACCATCCTGCTGTTCTCGATTCACGACAATTCGTTAAAGAGCCAGAAACCACAGTGGATTTACTCAACAGGCTCGCGCAGGGATCACTTTATGGATACAATCAAGCAAATGTGAGAACTTTGTGCTTTCGAATTCTTCCACTCTGATATAATAACATGTTTTGGTTTTTTTATCAGTTTTTCTTTGTATGCAAAAAATAGGAGACAGAATTTGAGTTTGTCAAGGTTGTTCGAGCCAATTACCACTTTGCTTGTGCGATAATGTTTCTCATAACATTTCAAGTTAAGGATCCTTGCGATGATCAGATCAAACACTTCCAAGCAAGAGTACGCCACGCGAGAGGAACCGTGCTTGAGTATGTCTTCTGCAGGCCGGAACCCAATCAAGGAGGTATATATCAACACTTTTTTGTGTGGGCTTGTGTGCTTCTTTTTCACCATGGAAGACAGATTTAGCTTGTGAGCTTCCATCTTTGTTTGTTGAAAGTGGCTGTTTCTTGAGAATTTGGTTTGTTTTGATAGTGGAATGTGTTGGGACTGTCAAGACTGATGTTGAGAAAGATGTCAAGACTGATGCTGAGAAAGATGTCAAGAAACAAAGGTAATGAAATATATATCTAGAAGGGTTGTTTACTTTGTTTATGTTAGATTCTTTCTTGTATGGTTGATTTTCCTTTGATTTTCTTCTCTTTTACAGATTGGAGTAGGAGCTTTCACATCCCACAAGGACTAAGAACCGAGAGATGCTCCATATTTTGTTTCTCTATCTAATTGTGTCCATTGCTTATTTAGTTCTTGTGTTGTTGCTGGGGAATACTAGGCTTATTGTAAGAATTGCTGGGGGTTATTGTGTTGCTACGAACTAAAACTTATTTGTGCGAGCTGTTAGTGCTATTTTATTTATCATATTTATATGCGTAACGAAAATACGTTTTTAAGAACTGTGACTTTCTTTTATAACGTTTGACCCACTTGGTCAACAACACAGTATTAAATAAACACACCCAAATGTCT